CCACAGTGCAGGGAAGGGTCCCAGGGGTGACAGGCAGGGTGTCAGTAAATCACGCCTCCTCCCCCAGGTCTGAGTTGAATCCCATGCCCCTGCCCTCCACAGGCTGAGGCTGCCCAGCTGTCTGCTTCTGGGTCTACAGGAGGTTGCCGGAACCATCTCCTCATTCCTAACTCAGCAGATCTGGTCCAGGCGTCCCCCAGAGAGCAGGGAGCCACCCAGTCCACTCAAGGGAAGGAATTCTACAAAGCGAATATTTGGAGAGCAATGAAGCTGGGCTGATAGCTCTTCCTCCACATCCTCAAAAGCTACCAATGCCTTCTTGTTTCTGATCCAGCAATTTGAGACAGTCAAGCTGTTATGCCTGTGGCTCCTCATTTGAGCAGTAAAACAATGGTCCTAAGGGCTGCACTGTTCAGTAGGCAACACAAACTTCTCTCCAGATCAGACAATGGAGAAAGGAAGGCAGTGTCTGGTCCTTACACCGGGAGAGGGAGGGACGCAAGGAAGGCCTGTGGTGGGGAGGGTGTTATCTCCCTACCAGTGACAGGAGAAATAAGGCAAAGTTCCATCTCCCTGAGTTCACCTGACCTGAGTCCTTCACCTCCAGGAAAGTGGAAGCTTCAGGCTTCAGCAGGAAATGGCCCCTTTCAAGAATTCGGCCATAGGAGTAGCAAACCTTCTTCCCAGTAACACCCGTGGACTACAGGTCTGGAGACTGTGTGTGATGTGGGGTGGGAGTCCCCAAAAACACAGTACAACAAGTGCCTGGGTGTGGAGGGCTGGGGCCAGCTGCCTACATCCTGCCCACTGCCCAGGCCTTCATCATGGCTGTGCTGGACCCCACCTGTGCACAGACCCGAATCTCTCTGCTGGAGCAGTTTTCAGAGCAGGGCCCATTCTGGAGGTAGGAGAGCTAGAGCTCAGCCTCAACCTTCTCACCAGGGATGGTAATGCTCCTCCCCTCCCCTACTGGAAGTCAGACTCTGGTGAGAGTCCACACAGCAGAGGCTTTGTCTGGGGAAGAGAAAAGCAGTAAATCACCTGCAGCAGCTGGTCTCCCATCTGAGCCTGGGAGTCGTAGGGCAAGCCAGGACACAGAGGGATGCTAGGAACCTCTGAACACCTTTCTGTCCACTCTGAAGACTCTGGAACTTCCCGCGCACTTGGGGAGCATGCCAAGGGCTCCGGGGGCACAGGAATCTCCCCAGATCACTGTCTGCTGTAGGGAGGCTTCACAGGGAGCCCCAGAAGAAGGGTTACCTGTGGAACCAGCTAGAAAATGATCGTGTCTGGGAAAGCCATCGGGCCTCCCCTCCCTGTGAGGGAGGCTGTCCTTAGTGAGCTGTCCTGCATCCCAGAGAGGAAGAATGTGACACAGAAGGGATCTGGAGAACAGGAAAGCTGTCCAGGATGGCGAATAAGAAGTGCGTGGAACGTCCTAAGGGAAGGGGTGGGACCAGCAGTCTCAGGTAGGAGCACTGGTGCCCAGGACCAAGTTACCTTTTTGAGGTAATTCCAGGGTTTCTGGGAAGGTTAAGATCACATCTTTAAAACACCTGGGAGAAATCTTGGCACACAGTCATTTCTCAGTGAGCGGCCAATGTTATAATCATTAATAAATACCAAACCTGCAATATCCAATGCAGTGGCTATTAGTCATACTCAATCATCCAAGCTTTAATTAAAAGTTAACATTTTAGGGGCTGGGGACTTAGCTCAGTGGTTCTGCCCCCTGCCTTACAAGTGCAAGGACCCAAGTTCAATCCCCGTACCAAAAAAAAATTTTTTTTTTTAAATTTTAGTTCCTCAGTCATGCTAGCCACATTTCAGTGACACTCACACTCAGTGGCCACAGGGACTAGTGGCTACATGCTGGATAGAACTGTTGTAAAACATCCCATCATGGAGGAATATTCTTTTTTTTTTTTTTTTTACCAGGGTTTAAACTTGCAAGCTTGCAAGTTTGGGCCCCGGTAAAAAAAAAAAAAAATTTTTTTTTTTTTTTACCAGGGTTTAAACTTGCAAGCTTGCAAGTTTGGGCCCCGGTAAAAAAAAAAAAAAATTTTTTTTTTTTTTTACCAGGGTTTAAACTTGCAAGCTTGCAAGTTTGGGCCCCGGTAAAAAAAAAAAAAAATTTTTTTTTTTTTTTTTTGTACCAGGGATCAAACTTGCAAGCTTGCAAGGTAGGTGGCAGCACCACTGAGCTAAATCCCCAGCCCCAGAATATTCTTTTTGCTTGCTTGTTTATTTCCTGAAAAAAAGTTTAGCTATACAGTTCAGGCTGGCCTTCATTTTACTATCTAGCCCCAGCTGGCCTCGAATTCACAGTGATCCTCTTGCCTTAGCCTCCTGAATGCTGGGATTACAAGTATGTGTCACCGTGCTGGGCTCATTGCAAAGCATTCTATTAGACAGAGCTGATCTAGAAGTTCTCTAAGCCAACTTCCCATTGCAATATTCTTGGATTCTATGAGACAAACAGTTTAACCTTCCAGCAGGTGATGCATGCTCAGTGTCCTCCGGAAATGAGAAGTCCTTTGCACTCCTAAGCCATACCAAAATGGATGGAGAACTTGCTACCACTAACAACAAAAAGTTAAAAATTAAAAATCAAACGGTACATGCCAAAGTCCAACCAAAATGATTTTGAATAGTCCCCTGGTTTGTTTGTTTGTTTGTTTGTTTGTTTAATTTTTTGGTACCAGAGATCAAAGTTGGGAACTTGTGCTTTTGAGGCAGGCAGTGGAACCACTGAGCTAAATCCCAGCCCCTGGTTTTTAAATCCTATGCATTAAGACTCCTCTCCAGGATTTGAAAGTATTGTCACTAACCGCCCTGTTGGGCACAGGCCTCTGGGAAAAGGTTACAGAGCATCTCCAAATTGTGGGCAGAGCTGACAGTGAGGGCTGAGACAGCTTAGACACATTTTCCTCCTAGGACCGGCCAATCTCTCGCCGACACAGAAGGGAAGGAGGAGAAAGGGAGCCTTCCAGCACGGCTGCTGGTTCGGTAGGCAAGAAACTGGTTTGGAGGGGGACCAGATGAAAAAGATGCCATCAAGATCAGCAGTGGGCTTAGGCTTCGCCTTTCCCCGTGCCTCCCTGCCCCTGCACCACCCAGACCTGGAGTCACCCATCTGTTCCCAAGCAGGTGCCGTGGCGAACCAAGGCTTGTGGAGGAGGGGAAGGAGAGCTCGGGAGGGAAGAGGCTTGGGTCCCGCCTGGAGAGCCTGCTGGCCACCACCCAGGTGAGGGAGACAGAGGAGGGCACAAGTCAGACAGACCCTGCTGCCTCCTCCGCCCCCGCCCACCATGCAGTGGACCTGAGCAGCGATGAGGAGGAACGCAGCACCCCGGGAGAGGAGCGGAGCGGAGCAAAGGAAGGGAACGTGCTGCCGTTCAGGTCTCAGCGGGACAGAAGCCAGCCTCAGTGAGTGACGCCCCAGGAACAGGTAAGACTGTCTACACCTGTCGGAGTGACGATCCCATCCTGCTGCTGCAACTTCTGGCTGGGTCTGGGCCTAGGAGCAGCTACAGGAGTTGCAGGGCCCGGTGCAAAATAACAACCCAGGCTCCTCGTTCACTGCTTACGAACTTCACAGCAGAGCAAGAAGTCAGGGAAGGGCTCTCCGGAGCGTGTGGCAGCCCCGTGAAGCTGAGCCTGTTTGGGGATAGCAGTTCTTCTCTACAGCCCTGGGGGCACACGATGGCTGTCGTCACACTTGCGGCTGACTCAACGCGAGGCACACAGGACAAGCACGCCCATTCCTTTATGCTCCGCTTCCATCTTTTTCTAGGCCTCAGATGCCCAGAAACTTGGCTCCTCCGGCTCTTCCCTGCTCTCTCTAGCGACTGGCACCTCCCCCTTACCGTACCTGGTTTCGGTCTGCCTATCCTGTTCGCCTATCCGCAGCTCAGCCCGGAAATACTACAGCAAGAGCCACCAGGGGCTGGCTTTGCCCTGACTAGCAAATCTCCTTCAAGCCTGGCACAGGGAGCACCTGTTCCTCCCCAGCAGGCTCTCCCAGCTAGAGCCCTGCCCAGGTCTGGCCTAACATCACCATTACGTCATCCAGTCTTTCTCCTCCCCAGAGGCAGGGGAACAAAAGGGCTCAAAGCCACGAAGGGGGTGAAAGTCAACATTTCCCCTCCAGTGACCATCATTGCCATTGAAAAGGAATAAAATCACATGAGCATGTGCGAGTACTCGCACGTACTTACATATACACACAGCACAGACACACACAGACACACACACCATCAGCTGGGAAATCAGTACCTCTATCTCCTGCCACACAGTCACACCCCCTGCACAAGCCGCGCACATCACGAGAGGATGCCCGGGTCAAAGAACACAAACGCTGTGAAGAGGGGAGCAAGGAACACAAAAGGAACGAGGGGATGGGACGACAGAAACCTCACACAGAAGGCTGGGCCTCTTTCTTTCAGATTGCAGTTTTGCTCCCAAACGACAACTTTGTCTTCTTAATGAGCAAAGAGTTTGCCTTCAACTCTTCCCAGCCGGCCAGGCTGTCACACTCGGTCCCTCTGCAAGAGCACACTGTCCCCGTCTGGTCTGCCGGGCCTCCCAAGCCCCTCTGGAGACAATGGCTCAGGGAGAGGGAAGAGCCAGGCTCCAGCTGTGCGTGCATGGTGGTCACACGAGCCACTGTCTCCTGCCTCCTCACAGGACGGACAATGCCGGTTTGTTCTCTCTGGCTTCAGGGATCTCTTGGGCTAAATCTGAAGACCTCCTTCGAATATATAGGAACGGTCCTGAAACCTGGCCCTTACTGACAATTTGTACATGGCTGTGACAAAAGCCCAAAAGCCCAGGGCAGCTGATGGAACCAGCCTATCTGGTGCTTCCTCACCTGCTCCGAAGAAGCAGCCCCCCCAGCCAACTACTCACCGGAGTGGCTTCTCCTGCCCCCTCTGCTGTCTCTAGCCCTGTCTCCTCTCACCCTCAGGAACGGGGGACAGGTTCCGTTTAATACTCACCAGGTCCCTGGGTGGGGAGCAATCATTAACAGCCACACACGCTCACTGGTCTTAACCCCTTCCACGCTGGACTGACTCAAGCTGGCTGCAGAACCTCCCTGTCCCCTTCGCCCGGCCCCAATAAAGTGGCAACTCCCACCTTGGTGCCATCCCCCTGAGCCCTTCCTCTGTCTCCCATGTGGAGAAGGAGAGTCCGTTAGCCCCTCCCAGGGTCCCCTGCGTGATTGGAGCACTTGCAACCTGAGGCGCTGGGCTCTGGCTTGAGGCCCAACTGGATGAGCCCACATTATGAAATATTTGCCTGGCGGGCCAATGGAGAAGCTAGGATCCGGGGGAGGGATGATATTTTTATTTATTCCTGGAGGAGGGCGAGCAGACAAAGGTAGTCATAGCATCCCTAGCCCTGGGACGAGAAGCATTAGGGAGGGCTACCCTCACACCCACAAATTCACCTCGAACTTCTCTGTCCAGGGACAGAATCCCAGGGGACTTCTAGGCAATTTGAGCTCCTGGCTGTTTAGCTTGAGGATGTCTTTGCCTTGACATCTCCCTGCCCTACTCGGGGGCATGGGGAGAGGAAGTATGAACTGTAATAGAAGCTAAGAAGAGAAACAGAGCCAGGCAAGGAATTGCTTGCCCCTGTGTGAATGGGCAACCGCAGGTATTCCTTACGTTTTAAAGTTGCAGCAATCATTTTGGCCTCTTGGAAGGGTGCAGATGGAAAGGGATGAGTAGAGACAAATCTCCTCTTTATCCATTTAAAAATAGGCAGCTGATTTTGGGAAAGCTAAATCCAGCCTAAAAGTGCCTAACTGTAGGACACATGCAAATCCATGCAGATATGTGCAAAGGAGCAGCTCCAGGCTCGTCACCGGAAGTCCTTGCCAGGGTCTTCCTACCTTGAGGAAGAAGTCAGTGGTCTCTAAGCCACTGTATCAGCCAGAGCACATGGAATTCACCCAGCATGTATTTGTGATGGACTTGCTACATACAAAGCAGCCAAAGTACAGCCAAACTGAGACTTTTAACCATAAGCACAACTATGATTAAAATGTAAAGACCACAAATGCGCTCTCTCTGCACATATCCCCTTCTCCTAGGCCCCAGATGAGTGATTCTGGCCAGCCTGGCTTTAGTAGCTGGCACCTTTTCCTTATCACCACTGGTTCCTGTTTGCCTATCAGGAAGCCAGCCACTGTGGCTCAGGACCCTGGCTGAAAGGAGCCAGGGGCCCTTATCTTATCTCCCGGGCTCCTGGGCTCTTGTCCCTGTGGCCTGGGGGCTAGCTGGCCCCAGTTTCTTAAAGTGGCTGCACTGCATTCCCACCAGGCCCATCTGCCATCAGGAATACACCTGAGATCTGGGGTTTGTTCTAGCTGTGAAGGGTCAGAGTTCCTTACACCCTTGACTGACATGGCTCCTGCAAGGCTGCTACTGAAATGACTCGCTGACTTAAAGATGGAGAGACGCTGAGGTCTTCACATCTGAAATGCAAACAGTGTGTCTGAGTTCCTGCTCAGGAAAATGGTTTGAAGTAGGGAAAACAGAGGTTTAGAATGCAAAGCCCACAGAGAAAACCCAGTGGCATGCCCACATACCAACAAAGACCAATGTCCATGGCACCTTTATTTGTAACAGCCCCAAACTGCAAACCACCCAAAGGCTCCTGAACCCATAAATAAAACGTCTGTTGTACATTCACACAACACAAGACTACTCAGCAAGAAGAGAAATAAATTGTTGATATAGGCAACAACACCGGGAGAATCTTGAAATAATTATGCTGAGTGAAAGCCAGACCTCTCCCCGCAAAAGTGTGTTCAGTGTGATTCTGTCACATCTTACTCTAAAGCGTGCAAACAAATCTGCACCCACTGTGACAGAAAGCAGATCAGTAGTGGCCTGGAGACAGGGTGGGGGGAGGGATTACCAAGAGGCAGGAAGAAATTTTGAGAGATTACGAATGTATATTCATTATCTTAACCGTGGTAATAGTTCCACCAAATATACTTTTCAAAACATGCCATCTATCATATATTAATTATAGATCAGTACAGCTACAATAAAGAAAAGCTTTGAGTCGAGACATTAACAACAACAAATAAAACTGCAGAGTAGTTTGGCGGGGGCTGGACAGGCAGAGATGCACAGGGGCCTCTTCTCTCATGGGTTTGGACCTGATAATGTGGCAGACCTAAACATGGCCTTCATGGAAATAAAGGATTATTTGTTTATGACAGGAGGGGAATATCCAGTAAAACCTTTCCAGTCCACAACACACTGTCACCATTTTCTCCTCTGCTTCTGGTACGGTCTTATGAGGCAGGCAAAAGAGCATTATCACTTTCATCTGGCAAAACAAAACAAACCCTAAACTGCAAGAGGTTAAGGCCTGTGGCCGAGATAACCCACCTCCAGGTCTTTCACCTGCAGCCTGGGGCTCTTTCCTCCTTGCTGCTGGCTGAACCCGTCCCCAGCAGGCTGAACATCAGCCGTGTCCCTCGGCCTTAACTCAGTTCTCAGGGCCATGAGGTCCGTGGACCAGCACGGGGTGACTGCCCAGCCTCGGGCTGACAGCCAAGGGGCACAGAGGGGACAGCAGCCCCGCAGACCTAGGGTGGGAGCAGGATCAGCTACTGGAGCGCTGCCCCATCCAGACAGTGGAGCCGAGGCCATCCAAGGATCTAATTAGATCACAAGCTGGATGCCAAGACGGAAAACCCAACCAAACAGCATCCCCCAGGGCGAGTCCGGTGGGTGTGGAGGCAGCTGGAAGAGATTAGAGCTCCCAGCCAGAGGCCTCTGCACCCTTCCTCTCCTCCTTCTCTGTCCGCAGCCTCCTCTCCCTCCCTCCTAGGTTTCAGGAACTAGGAAAGAATCCAGGGTACAAAGTTCTATCTACACTAAGCCATACCCCTAGCCCCAATGGGGTAATATTTTAAAAGTAAAATTAATGTGAAAAACAAAAATGATATCTGGAATGGTGGTGCACACCTGGAATACCAGCAACTGTGAGTTCAAGGCCACTCTGGGCTACATATGAGACCTTTTCTCAGAAAACCATGTGCTGGGGATTTGGCTTAGTGGTTCTGCCACCTGCCTCGCAAGTGCAAGGGCCCGAGTTTGATACCTGGTACCAAAATAAATAAATAAACAACTAGAAATTAAACAAAAACCAAAAACAGACCCCCCAAAACAACATATGATGAATGAAACATCAATATTTAAAATACACAGATGTTAAAGCTGCATGGAACTTTGTTTATGGTAGAAAAAAAATATATATATATATATATATCATGAAACATCAAAAAATATTTAAACTAAAGGTCCAGTATTAGGGAATTTCCCTTTCACCTCAGGTCCAATGGCTTGGACTAGCACTGCCACTGATCCTAACTTTGTTCTAAAATGATGAAATTTTGTTCAAGAAATGCTTGAGCCAGGCGTGGTGGTGCACGCCTGTAGTCCCAGCACTCAGGAGGCTGAGGCAGGAGGATCACTGTGAGTTCAAGACCAGCCTGGGCTACATAGTGAGTTCCAGGTCAGTCTCAATTACATAGTGAGACCCTGTCTCAAAAAAACAAACAAAAAATGCTTGCATTATTTCTATTTTTAAAGTGTTACATTAAAATGTTATCTATCTTGATTACTGAGTTTTTTGGCAACACCTCTTCCTTACTTTTTGTGTCAGCTCTGCTCAGAGGTGAGGCTGGGGAGTGGGAGGGAGGTAGAGAGATTGGAAAGCCCCAGAGTGGGTCTTGCATTTTATTTGTTTATTTCTCAGGTACCAGAGATCAAGAGGTTCCTGCATTAAAAAAAAAAAAAATACAGGGACAACAAAGAGAAACTTCCAGATTAAAGGAGAGCAGAGACTTGATCCAGGATGGGATTCTAATCACATTATTAGGACAACTGATGAAATTTAAACATGGACTGTATATTAGAAAATAGAATTCCATCAATGTTAAGTTTCCAGAATTGTTAAATTATACTGTAGTTATGCAAGAAAATGTCCTTGTTTTCAAATGGAAAGAAAGAAAGAAAAAAGATGATGAAGAAAGAGGGACCAGAGGGTGACAGCTGCCCAAAGGCTGCGCTAACCAAACACTCCTCCCGCTCCAGCCCATCCTGGTCCAGTTCCAGACCATCAGGAGAGGGGAGAGCAGGAAGTGGTCAAGGCAGGAAGTCCTGTCCTGAAGACAGAGTATTGGAGGTCCGGTTGGACGTTTTCCACCAGAAACAAGAATTAGCCTTGAATCCCAAATCACTCCTCAGTGTCCCCAGGAAAACCTGACATCTGGCACAGAAAGGAAAAGGGAATTAACACCTCTCCAAGTCACGATGCCAAGAAAGTCTCTGCTCACTCTCTTCCAACAGGATTGCATCCTGCTGTCCCAAAGGAGGAGCCTGGGAGGTCAGAGAACCCAGTCTTGGGCTAACTGGTCAGGAAGCCAGAGGACTGGGATTCCAGCCTGGGCTCTCTTCCCCCCTGGATGTTAGTTGTGCAACTTGAAATTCCCTTCTCATGCATCACCCTGCCAGGAATCTTTGGGTTTATTTTCACTGAGTTCGATCTGCATGAGTTGAGATTTTTGGTTCTGGAGTCAGACTGCCCAGGTTCCAATCCTGACTCCCCCAGTCACTTACCTAAGGGACTCTGGGTAACTCAACCTCTGTGCTTTCATTCCCCAGCTGCAAAAAGGGAGCACATAAGGATCCATCTCATGGGCTTGTCACACGATTAAATGAGATTTTACCAGGGAAGAGTGTAAGGGTGTTGCTTGCACTTAGCAAATGCTCAATGGAGCCAGTCCTCACTCATTCGTATCTGCCCGCATTGGCTTTGAACTGTTCACCCAGAAGACAATGGCCAAATTTCGATTATAAAAGCCCTCAGATGACAAAACCCTTCAGCACTTTGTCACATAAAGACAGATGCTTGGCAATTACTCCTAAAGAAGACCTCCATCAAGATGGCGCCCACAGATTTCTAGCTCTAGCTTGTAATGCTTTTAAAAACCACCTCATCAGGGAAGACGGTGCATGCCTATAATCCCAAGCACTCAGGAGGTTGAAGCAGGAGGAGCATTTTGAGTGGAGGAATAGTGAGTTCAAGACCTGCCTGAACTATTACATAACAAGACTGTCTCAAAAAGAAAAACCAAACCAAAACAAAAACAA